CTTCATTTCTGGACATTTATGGTTTGATTTTTTTGTATGTATGGATCACTTGGTTTGTTACCGACATCTGGTGAAAATTTCATGTCATTAGCATCTCTAGTAATATATTTACTGAGAAAAATGGTGACGTGTTCAATACTTATTTTACCCGCTGTATGTACCTGGTACTTGCCTGGAAATTACTGAGTACTTAGTTGTTACATACCAGGTACACATCAGGTACTTAGCTGAAATGTACCTGATACTTACCAGGTATGCAACCTGTATTTACAGGGGAACAAATTATTCAATTATATAGGCTGTATGTTAGCACTATAGAAGTACCAGGTTGTATTATATATTAGTACTGACTTTTTACTTTGCATTTAGCTGAAAATGGGATGAAGATTAATACAAGTGATTTGTAATTCGCCATTTGAGTGACGCACCTCTCAAAATCAGTTCAAACAGGAGCACTAAACCTGGAATTTTGTATGTAGCCTGACTATTTATATAGATTGTGACTCACTTAGTAATGCTGGATTGCTGAATCGCCAGGCTTCGTTGTAAGTTGTGTACTGCGGATGACTGTAGGGGTTCCCCGAAAACTCGCTCCCTGCAAGACGAAACAACAAATCAATTAGCATTTCAGTCCTCACCGCTTCACGTGCAGTCGTCTCTCGTCATTCAAAAAAACTGGATGCAATTTGAGGCGGGGAATGATAGTCATCAATGTGCAGCCAGTCAGGCAAGTAATTTATTTCTTTTTCATTTCACTTAAGTTATGCAACACTGAACAATACAGGATGTGACACTGAAGGCGGCTTTCCCTGTCCCATTTATGGATATCTGCCCATTCTTCTTCCTCCGGCATATTCCAAACCAGTCTAATAAATACAGAGTGGTAATAAACAGTTTCATGCATACATTTTTGATTTGCTGCTATAAATCTTGCCACCTTTCTTAGGGGAGTTTTAACATCTCCAGTCCGAAGTCGCCCTTCGGTCCTTCTCGCAACAGAAGTAACTTGGATGTCAGCGAACACTGGTGTTGGTTTTACATGTTTCCTGCCTTTATGAGATAGTAAAGGCAGGATTTTATACGAGCCTGCTGAGAAATGGCTTTGCTTTAACCGTGTTTTGCTCTTGTCACTAAAACTTAGTGGTTGTATATGGGATGAACTGGTTGTAACGCATAACCACAAGGCATGGGATTAGGATGCTCATCTTCTACTTGTTTGCCGCAGGAGAACAAATGGAAAGTAAAAGCGGGTTTGACTTGACTCTTTTCCTCCCACATGATTTAATAGTTATATTAAGCAAAATCTAAACATAAAGACAGACTGCCAGCGCAGGCTGCCCACGTCTGCCTTTAGTTTTACTGTCAGCTGTTAAACCGACTTTGCTGTTGCCAGAAGATAATGTAAAGCACATCACTTTTCCAAATACTGCATTTATAAAAGCCGTATTTAAATGTCTACAGCACTCAATAATAAAACATTCACAAAAATATGCAAAAAAACATAGAAACAAACTGAGTCTTTTACATGATAGTTCAGGTATTTTGAAGTGAGGTTTGGTAGAAAATTTATGCACAACTAATATCTTACCTGCTGTGGATAGCTCTTTGAAGGGACTCAGTTTGAAGCACATTAGTTCTAAATTTAACTCATGATCCTAAACCATTGATAAGCTGCTAGTTAGAACAAGACCACAACAAGACGTGTGATGCAAAACTGTTGTTTCTAAATTATTTTTTCAGAAAAACAGAGCTGTAAAGTAGCTAAGTACAAATACATTGTTACTGTACTTAAGTAGAATTTTTGTGTATCTGTACTTTACTTGAGTAATTATTTTTCAGCCTACTTTTTACTTCTACTTCTTACATTTTCACACAGTTATCTGTACTTTCTACTCCTTACATTTTTTAAAAAGGCAATAAGTACAAAGTTGTTACTTTTATTTCTTTTTTGCTTGTTTTCATTCCAAATTGTTATTGTGAAAAATCAATACTGTCCATATAAATTGTGCCTCCTAGTTAGAGTGAATTTAATTGTGGTTGAATGAGAAGTATGACTGTTTAAAATTCTGATACCGTATTAGTTTGTACACAAACAAATGTCACACTCCAGCAGGACACAACCATTAAAGTAAAAGGACTGTACTTAAGAAGTATTTGTATTTCATGAATTATATTATTGTATTTGGCCGCAGCCCTCGGATAGATTTTCATTTTGGAGAAAAAATTTGAGCACCCTTGATATATGTATATAAACTGAAACATCTAGACTAGTGCATCCTAAATTTAATATAAATTAATTATTTTAAAACAATATTCATTTCTGTATTTTTGGGGGAGGTCACCTCCTAATAAATGTCATCATGGAAAATCTAACTGCTTATTTTAAATCAATACTTTTACTTTTAATACTTAAGTACAAAAAAATATCAGTTACGTTTAGACTTTTACTTAATATTCCAAAAGGAGACTTTAACTTTTACCAAAGTAATTTTTTTGTAAGATACTTGTACTTTTACTTAAGTATCACTTTGTGGTACTTTATCCAACACTGTGTAAAAATCGCTATACATTTTTTAAATTAAAGTTATTTTACAATAGCAATCCACCATTTTATTGTCCACAATTGGATTTGTCGTCAGCTCTAGTTCCTGTGTTTGAAATTGTTCAAAATGCTGTCTACAGCGGGTTAGATAGTATTTGTTTCTATTCTCTCCATAGAACCCAAAAGATCTGAACAATCCTTCTAATAAAAAAAATCTCAAAGTTCCCATAATTTATAGCTTTAGCAAAGTATTTTCAGGGGTCTGAGTCTGCTGCAAGTTGGATGTCTTATTTTTTACATTTATCTTTGCAATAATCCAGCCAGGCAATAAAATTCAGGTCTTCTTTTCAAAGACAAACAGATGAGAACACCCATGCAAGAAACAGGAAGCCTATCTTCTCCTCTTTGATTACAGATCGATCTTGTCCAAATTAATAGTTAATGCACAGGTAATATAAAGAAGTGTGAACCTCTTACTCTTCATGTCAGTATTCATTGCCTTTATTGTATAATTTGACATTAAAGTATACATCTCTGCTTCTACCTATTTTGAAAGCAACAAGAACTGGAACTAACAAAGTAGAATAGCAAAAAAAACTCTGACTCACCAGGAACCATTCCAGCGAGCGTGGAGGTTGGGTAGCTGCCCTGGCCTGTGGGGGGAACGTGAGGGGGGTACCCAGGTAAGGTTGTGTTGGCCATATCTCGGCCTGCAGAGGCAAAAGTGAACACACATACACACACAAAAATACTTGTCATCTAAAGGGTTAGGATCAGTCAGACATTTATTCCTAACTCTTAGTTCCTGCTTTGAGTCATGTCTGCTCACCAACCAGTTCAAACTTGTCTGCATATAACAGCCTTTAGTCAGAACACTGGGCAGGCCTCTCTGCAGGCAGAGCATCATTTACTGGGCTGCAGATATTCAGCTCTGTAATTGAGAGTGACGGCCGGGTTGTCCTCCCTGGCCACAGGGATATTTGGACCACAGCGCATAACCCCAATACACAGAGACCGGAGTGAGGGAGGCCCCCGCTATATTGTCAGCTGTGTGAGGGTCACTTGGACACAAAGAGGAGCTCATCTCCAGAAAGAGCTTTAATGAGGACCTAGTGGATAAAACGCATCTTGGTACAGTAGAGCAGCAATGTTGCTGTTTAAAAAAAGTCTAGGAAATCAAGCAACTTTCATCAATATTAAGAAAGTTGCTGCTTGCAGATTTCTCAGTTTTAGTAAATAAAGCAGGGCTATTCAACTGGCGGCCTGTGGGCCAACCAAAGTCCAGCCCGCCAATTGCTTCATTCATCTCTTAAGCCCAAACTCCCAGTTTTCTGTTTTAATTACCATAAGTTGCTTTAGTTTGAGACAGATGTGTGCAATCTACAGAAACATATGAATCTTAAAACCTGGTAAAAAAATCTTTGAACACCCAAGATAGTTAAAGCAAGCAGTTGAAGATAAAACTTAAATAAATAACGATAAAACTGGTTTTTAAAAACTGGCAAGTCAGGGATGTCAAAAAATATTGTTGTTAAAAAAGGGCATTAATGTTTTATTTTTGTTTTTGATATAGTTTCAACTGCACTACTTTTATTACAATGGGTTCTGTATGTTGTATGATTAAATGCTGCAAAATAAACTAATTCAAATGTATCTTAATACCTGGTTTGTTTATTTAATGACTATAATTGCTGAATGTTTGGGCCCTGAGCTGTTGGCCTGCTGTAACTGTGGCCACCAGAGCAATTTAGTTGAATAGCCTTGAAATAAAGGTTTTCTGTCTATAATTATTGTGGCCTTCTAGTCCCAAATTCTGTTCTGTCATCGTAAAATCATAGATTATAACAAGTGTTTTAGTTATTTTAAACGGATATTAGAGATGCTCTGAAAACAAAACCATTTAACATGTTTAGCATTTCATGCACACAATATGCAGACATGCTTAAACATAATTATTAATGCAGGAGGTCCTCATTGTGGTTTAATATTTACTGCTGCATGTATAACAGATGTTTTAATAAAACGCTGGATGTCTCGAGTGCAAAGATTTGTCTGTTGGTCGTTCAAGAAAGAAGAAACCAAAAACCCAGTGACACAAAGGAGACGACACAAATCTGTATGGAAGTGATTACTAACAAGAGCACCAAAATGCCACACGCATGCAACAGATCAAAATCTCAAGCTGACCAACTCTGTTGAACAACTTCTGTCAGCACCAGCGGCTGGGAGTCCCTGGTGAAATGTGTCCTTCGGTTAAAGCGCTGAGACTTCAGGGCTGTGAGTTAAAGAGCTTTACAGAGAAGAGTGAGGTCATGCTGGACCTTTCATTTATAATAAGAATTAGTCAGCCACAAGCCAGTGCACATGAGTCAAAGGGAGCTGTGGGAGTACTGTAGTGGGGGTCCGGCAGGGGTGAAGTCATTGTGTGTGTTTGTGTAGACAAGGGTGACTATTGTAGATCTCCACAAACACTGAACCTGCTTTTATGTTTTTTCATTATGTCAGCAGCTGGAGCAGTCTTGTATTAAAAGTGTCGTTTTATCTTCAATGTATTTCTGAAACGTGTCTCATTTACAATTCGTACAAAACATTTACAGAAAGTCACACCAGGATTTTATTTTATTTTTTTACCCGCAGACTTTTGTTTTTACATTTTAACAGACAAGTAGAAAATCCCTCTCTACATTTGAATCTAGCCAAATGACATCAAAGGATTACAAAATTCTAGTATTTAACAACAGTGACTAAGAAACTAGATAATTCTAGCTGGTCACTTCATCAATACCAGCTCTCATATTGATCCCCTGAATCAAATCAGGTGATCAATAACTTAACCCTCTTAGGAAACTTCAGCCTTCGCTCCGACCTCAAACAACATCAGTAAGACACACTTCAGCCCAAGTTTAGATCAATAATCAGAGCAGATTAATCAAACTAAAAACTTACTGAAGGCTGTTGATGAGGAGAACAAAAAAAAAAAAAAGAAAAAGAAACGACCAATAGGTGTAATAAATGTAAATCAATATGCTGCATATTTGCCGGCATACCGACTGTGGTAAATTCTGTTTTTGTATAATCTGTTGGCGGTGACTGCCAGCAGCTTTGTGACTATTGCTTTATGTTCCCTTTAGAGCCCTCTTTCAGAGAGGCGCACATTCGCAGAACCCTCTGTACAGCAATGATAGCCTCATTAGCTGCTTCCTAGCCTTTGTTGTTTTTACAACAGAGATGTGTGTTGAGATTCTCATTAAAAGATGGGCTTCTTTATATTATTGTCTGCTTCCTCTGACAGTCCCCTTAGATTGAATGCCAGCAAATCAAGCTATTTATTTTCCTCTGGCCTCTTTTCCCCCCTCTCTTTCTTTCTTCCCCTTGCAAAAAAAAAAGGAAAAAAGAAAAATCAATTCAAAGATTTTTTGGTTTGCTGTTTAAAAAGCCTGTTGATTTCCGCCTTAAATTGAGAAGTGGCTCATGGCGGTAAGCGCTGAACTGGGAATATATTTTTCCTTCCAGTTGATCATATCACAAAATTGCTTGAAGTTTGAGCTGGACAGGATTTTTGCACCACACGGCAACTGATTTAATGTTTTTTTTCTCAGTCCACAACAATGCAAAAAGAATTGCATTTTTTTGTAGCTGCCATCAGTTCAGTTTCTTATTGCACAAACAGAAAATTAGAGTGACCTTCTTGTTTTTTTTTGTTTTTTTGGCTCGCAAACAAAGTCGTTTGACAATGACTCTTTTGCGTGCACGAGTATTAAATTTAGCATGACAGGGACACCTTCGTGTTTGCTTCGGCAACAACCAGAAATCTCTGACCTCCATTTTCAGGGCAGTATTGTGGAATGGGGCAATTTATCAAAAGCCAAAAAAAATCTTGCACCCTAATTAATTACAACTAAGTAAAGAATGTTTGGAGAGCCAAATTGCTTTAATTCCCCAAACACCAGCTGAAAGTCATTCATTATCAAATGTGTGCTCAAAGGTTAGTTTGCTTTTGTAAAAGACGAGATGAGCATTAATTTCGGAGCGTTTCTTTCCCCCCGGCGGGGAGACAAGCTAGTGGTTTGTCAGGAGGCCGCGCATCACGGGTGGCATGTTCATTGTCCGTTTGTCACTCGGGTCTCGGTGCTTTCAGGGCGGTTCACCCTGAGAGCATCCTCACCTTTAAATAAATGTTTAATTCACTGGATGAAGTTTTGTTTAAAAAAATAAAAACTAACAAGAAAGACGGAAGGGGAGAAGAAAATGTACCACTGACCCAAGGGCTTCGAGCCTTTTGAGGCCTTGATTAAAAGGCCCAGCAGGGCACGAGTTTAAAGAGCATTCAGAATGCAGTCTCCGAATGGAGATGTGTGAAAACTCCCTCTGAAAAGCCTGAGGGAAACCACTCACCGCCTCAAGATGACTCTTAACTCTGAAGCAGCAGCAAGAAAGCAGATGGGCTCCGACTACTTTCAGGAAAACTACCAAAACTTCTCTATTGAAATAGTGGACAATTGGCCGTATCGAGGCCATCTCCTCATTTATTTCTCAAAATACGCAAAAAAAAAGTTCAGAGCTCCTCCTTCTGCTATTCACAGATTCACCCACACTATTTGAATTTTAAGCAGTTCGACTGAACAAGAATAAGAAGATGAAAATCCATCTCTCGAACGGGAATTCATCAAAGAAATTACTTCCCATATCAACAATAGAAATTACCTCACAATATGCAATTGTCCTTTCCACATATTCAGGGAACCCTTTGGTGTTTTTATGGGGTAAGAGGGACTATTTAGCAGGTAATACAGAATTAATGTGGAGGGGAGGAATAGAGAGAAAAAAAGCACTTTTAATGGAAGCCTCTGAATTTCGATGATGTGCACAATGCCCTAAAATCCCTTTCTCATTGGAGGTATACTTTTGAGGCCAAATCGGATGAAGCAGAGGACACAAAAGATTTCTATCGCTCAACTCTTTCAGTTCACTGAGAATCCCGGTCTCTGGCAACGAGCACTTCATGAATCATTCATCTTTAATAGATTATGCAAATTCCGGGGCATGAAATCAACAAGATCAATAAGTGCAGGCATTTTAATTGGCGGCTGAAAAACATGCTGAGGATGAGCGTGTTCTCCGGTCCTTCCCACCATAAAGGCGCAATTAATTTGGAATTGGATCTCAGCCTAAATACGGCAGATAATTTACCACTTTTTGCACGGCTTAAAATTCCTCTGGTAAGCTTATCGCTGGCAAGTAAACTGTAATACTCAGCCATTAGGGAAGACCACACACCTGAATATCACATCTTATCCACACAGGCAGCCACTGAGGGAAAACCAAGCAGAGAAGCCACTAACCAAATAGTAATTATCAAGCTAGTCTGAGTTGATGTTTGTTCCATTAGTTTGACCTCTGTATGCTTTATTTCTTTGCCTCCTGTGAACATTGAAAGGCACGGAATAAACGGCTAAAACAAGTGCTTTTCCTGTTCAAACAAACACAAGAACACTGTGATATGATCACAAGGCAGGAAATTTTTTTTTTGTTTTCTTTCTCCTCTCTCTTGCACCTGTGAAGAAGTAAGGAGAGCCTTTCCTGCAGAGACCATCTAAAGTATCCCAGGTGCAAACAGAGCTGCCTGCAGAACCAGGCTTGCTTTCCACGGGGCCATCCGTACACAAAGGACAAACACACACCTTTCTTCTCAGGAGGCCCGCCTTACAGGGGGAAATCTACCTCCCACATATTAATGAGAAAAGGGCTCTTTCTTTTCTCATAAGACTGCTCGGCTATCGTTTGAGAAGAAGGGCTGCCGCAATTTTCAATCACCCCCCCATTCCCCCTCCCCCACGCAGAACTCATTGCCTTTGATGGCTGCTGCATAATTATATGAATTTTAATAAAAGCTCCGTATATTAATCTCAGGCGCCCGACAGTCATCGTAAACTTTCAGTAAACTTAACCTTCTTCTTGGTAATAACACTGTAACAACGAAGCAATATTTCAATTAGCCAGCCGGTCATTAACTGTGACAAGGAGAGGAGACAACTCTGGGGTGGAGGGAGGGAGGGATGGGGTGTGTGTGTGTGTGTGTGGGGGGGGGGACAGAGCAAGGGAGCGATAGGAGGGTGAAATAAATGATCATGGTGTTAGAGTTAGGCGGCAGAAATGCCAGAGCGTATTTACCGGAGCACATTACTCGTGCTTTCAGCCGCACGAACTGTCTCCTGGTGGACAAATCGCGGGAGCAGTGCAGCAGCAGCCAAACGAGCAGCCAGTCCTGCACGCTAGCTGTTTTATTTTCTTCTTCTTCGTTTTTTTCTTCCTCAAGACCTTGCCCTGATACGCAGTCATAGTTCTGATGTGCTGACACCCAAAGGTCCTTGTCCAGCGGTGACTGAACAGCTCCCAATCTTTTTTTTCTTTTTTCAATACCCTGCCTGCTCAGCAGAATCTGAACCGAAGACAGCTGCTAAGCTTCCACCACGTCACTGCAACCTCTTTTCAGCTTCGAGTAAAAGTCTTCACACTTCACTTTTTGGTTTGCCTTTATTTGACACACATTTTTATTTGAGCATCTTTAGCACTGTTTGTTTACATGGTTCAACCCCCACCCACCCCACCACCCTCTGCTTAAACTGTGGCTTTGGCAGCATAAAGGCAAACTGGATGGCACATGATCTTACCTACAGCGTAGCTTTGCGACACGCTGGGGCCCAAGTCTGGGTTGGCGCTAGAGGATAAACTGGGCTTGACTTCGTCCAGGCTGGAATTCAGGACAGGCAGCGAGTACTCATTAGCCTGGGAAAAGGACAGTTGAATGATTACACAACCAAACAATACCAAGATGGAAATCCTCCTTTTTCTCCTCCTCCATTAAGCACTCCACACAAGCCTGGGTGGGTATAAATTTGGATGAGAGCATTGTGTGTGTGTGTGTGTGTGTGTGCTGGAGGGTGGCAGTTCAAGCATATCATGAATGTATTTTGGTATTGTCTGAGAGGAAGTGGGATTTTGAGATGAGTGAAAAGCCAAGGCGTCAGCTGGCCCTTTGTGCTTCGCTGCAGTCCTGCTCCTGGTCAGCCAAGGGAGAAAGCAGTTCTGCTTTGTTACAGACACACCATGTGGTCCTGTTTAAGAAACACATTTCACTTTTGCTTTTTGCTCACTTGGAGTGCAGACCACCTTTATGGATTTAGCTTTTCCTTTCATTTGCTGCAAGATTTTGTCCTGCAATTCTTGTTCAACTAAATCACAGAACAAAGTAACAAATGTTAGACCTGTCTGAACTGAAAGATGCTACTATATGATTTAGTTTTTGCCCATCATGCTGAGTTTAAAGAAACTCAACCCTTTCTGCTGAGTTTTATAAGCTAAACCCTGTTCCTCTCCGGTGTAAAGGGCTCAAAATTCAACAGTCAAACAAACAAAATAAGTCCTTTTGTAATTTCTCTGAATAGACCCTTTAGTTTAAAATAAAACATGTAATAAGAATTTCTTTCTCTTTTCATCAAAATAATCTCTTTTTGTAAAAAAAAAGCCCCCTCAAAGACACCAGTGACAGATGTTAGCAGGTTTTTTTTAATGAGATGAGACTTCCGGAGTCTGAGTGTTGACAATGTTTATCCAAAGCCCAGTGTGAGTGGTTCAGTGGGCCGCTCTCCCACGGGGGGGGACGCCCGTGACCCCGCTCTTGTCTGTCACTATCGCAGATAAACTCTAATTGTCTGCTACAACTGTTCGCTGGCACAATGTCGGATGTTTTCCTCTATTCTCGCCGGCCTCAGACGCCAAACAGGCGTTTTATCATGCAGATAAAGGGCAGGAGGGAGAAAACTGAAAAGATGGGTCTGAAAAGGATGACCAAATGGCTGGCAGAAGTGTGGGAGGGGTGAATCCATTGAGTTTTGCATCTCCAGAATGGCTTTTTAATGCCCCGCTACAGAACCCAGACACTGGCTAACAGGGCCACATTTTCCTGAAGGGAAAACACACACACACACACACACACACACACACACACACACACACACACACACA